CAACCCAAAAACTCAAAAAAGTCACACGAAAAATTTCAATCAAAATTTTTATTCATTAGTAAAGAATAATTATTAAAACCTCTTAAAAAAAACTAAAAAAAGAATACTCAAAAAATATTACTAACAAATAGCACTACTTAACGTTATTGCGTTTACATAGAACCCTGGGCAGGGGGGGAGGGAGGTTGGTAACATGGTAATGACGGGGTTTTACTAGTACGAGAATTATACAAAGTACTTATCGGCAACTAAAGAAATTATTCATAGTGGAAAGCAACGAATAGTACTAAGAAACCGATAAAACGAATTCTCATTGAAAAAATGCAAATGGATTATGACCAAAAAGCAATAGGGATAGAGCTGCACTACTTGCTCATTACTTGGAAGGAATTTTTCAACCAAATGAACTGAATTCTAATATTTGTTTAGTAGAACATTTTGTAATGAATCTGTTTACCCGAAAGTAAATCGGCCAAAAGGTTTTAATCTTATTACTGCCGAGAAATTAAAAGAATTGCCAAAAAGGCATTGGCATTTTTGAAAAAGTGATAAATGCGGCAGTTAACTTGAGGTGTATTCCTAGTAGATGGAAAGTAGCTCAAGTTATTATTACGAGAAAACTGGCGCAACCGTTTAACGACACAAAGTCATGTAAACTTATTTCTCTGTTACGAATGATAACCAAACTTTTTAAAAACTTGTTTGTTAACAAGGCTAATGCCAATCATAAAAAACAAACCAAACTATATGTTGGGTTTTAAAACAAAGCATGCAACGATTGACCAAGTACACAGAACAAAAAATATTGTAGAAAATGCTTTAGAAGAAAGAAAAATGTGTTCGATAATATTTCTGTATGTGGCCCAGACTTTATTATTGTTTGGCACGGCGGTTTCTTGTGTAAACTTAGAATATTAATACCTTTCCAACTCGTTCAGTCATCAAACAGGACGAGGAGTACTCTACGCTTAGAGAAACAAGGACTGGTGTCCCTCAAGGCAGTATTTGGGAATATATATCATACCTGCTCTATACAAGCGATATACCAGATTTAGAGGGTGCAACTATGGCCACATTTGCCAACGATACAGCAATATTAGCAGTGGGATCAAATGTTAAGGAACTGACAAAAAAATTACAGAAAGCAAGTAACAATATAAGTAAATGGACAAATACATGGTAATTGAGGCTAAACGGAAGTAAATCTGCACATCTAAATTTTACAAACAAAAGTTTAATCAACCTACTACAATTTAGTTTGAATCATACTTTATCATCAGTCCAAAATACAGCGAAATACCTACGTGCAACTTTTGACGTCAACCTCAAATGGAAAGAATATGCAAACAAGACAAGGGTGGCATTAGACAAGAAATATAGAGAAAACTATTGGTTCATTGGTCGTAGATCTGGATTATCAACATACAATAAGATGTTGATATATAACCAAATGATAAAGCCTATATGAACGTATGTCTTGCAACTATGAGGCTGTGCCAAGCAAACACACATTAAATAGCTACAAACTTACCAGAACAAGATCCCTCGTAATATGGTGGGTGATCCCTTGAATGTGTGCAATAGTTATATTCATAGGGATCTGCGTGTTTCCCAAAATAAGTGAGGAAATAGGGAACTAGGCCACGAAACATAGGGCGTGTTTGAAAGAGCATGGAAAGATCGAGGCCTTTAAACTTTTAGGGGAGAGTGTTTGGACAAAAAGACTGAAGTGAACGAAAGCTCTTGAAGTGGCCTAAAGTGCTGTGACAGTACTTCAGTGCCTTCCTTCACGGAATGTAGACATAAAAAAACAATAGACAAAAATAATGATTTATCAGTTTGGCTAGTTTTAGGAGCTTATGACCATCTGGGTATATTTTTTGATGGGTCCACCTATTTTTGTCTTTCGATGACTGTTAACACCTGTATTAAAAAAAAAGTTGGATATGCTAATACGGTTGTCTATCAAGATAATTCCTACGTAAACGAATTTTAATATCGTGTCATAGCATGTACGAAAGTCATATCCAGGAATAAGTAAAGAGTTCGTCACTTAGTTCCGGTAGAAAACAAAATTTAAATTTTAAATTTCCAAAAACTTCGTGAAATAGTTTCTTAAATGTGGTAAAAAAAATTAAAAACGTTTCATTCGGCATAAAATGACTGAATAATATCCTTGTTCTTTGACAATCTGAGTTTAAAAATTTGTTTTTGAAATATTTAGAAATAACTTTGATTGCTAAATGGCAATTACTTGAACCTGTTAAACCACTCGATAAAAGCTTCCCGAAAATTATGTCTGACCTATAAGTGGGCGCACGAGGACCGAGTTTCATGAAACTTACTTTAATATTTTTACAAATATTTAAAACGAACTGTCGGAGTTGTATGGCAGCTACACGAACCGGTCAAGAAATTCCACTAAAACTTCAGAAATATATCTGACCTAAAATTGGACACACGACTGCCGAGTTTCATGAATTTAGCCTTATTATTTTTCCAAATATTTAAAATTAACTTTTGGAGTTGTATGGCATCTACCCGAACCTTTCAAACAATTCTACCAAAACTTCAGAAATATATCTATCCTGAAATTTTGTCTATCCCTTCACGAAGTGCAGGGTGTCAATATAAAAATATAATCATTTTAGCTGAAATTAAGATACACTAATACACACTTAGACAGTTATGCGAAATTTGATTAAATCACACTTATTGTATACAATCCGGTTGGTGAAAAGGACTAAAACTAAAGCATGCGTATATAAAAATGCTTTTTTCACTTTGATTCTACAAAAAAAACTCCTTACCAACTCCGATATGACACTTTATATTACACATAAAAAACTTTTTATTTTAATGCTGATAAACAATAAATGATTTATAAAAAATTTGATTGCTAGAAATTACAAGTAAATAGTCAGGATGAATTAATTAAAAGCTCTATGGTCTATTTTTTTTAGTAGAAAACTAAATGAAAAAATCTCGAAAAATGAAGAAGGACGGCGGAACCTGCCTATTTTTCTACGACAGTGGGGGAAATTTGGCCATAAATTAATATCTTATTATCAATTCCCAAATTGGACTTACGACCTAGGTGCCAATAATTTTTTCTACATTTATTTTCTAATTCTATGTGTTTCTTCTTTATGTGCTCTTTCCACCTTAGCTTGCCATCTAAAGTCATTGCTAGATATTTTGCTGAGTTATGGATCGCTACGTTCGTTCCATTTAAGTTAATTTGCGGTGGATTCACTATTTTCCGATTGGAGAAGTTTATGTAAACCGATTTTGCTTCATTCAACTTCATTTTCCAATCCCTATCCCACTGGCTTATTTTGTTACTTGCCTCCTGCAATTTTGTTGTCGAATCGCCAATGTCACTTCTACTGCCAATATTGCAGTATCTTCAGCAAAAGTGGCTACCGCAGCATTTTCTAATTATGGGAAATCACTCGTGTAAAGCAGGAACAACATTGAGCCCAATATACTGCCTTGAGGCACACCTGCCTTTACTTCTCTTAGCGTGGAGTATTCAGCGTCTTGATTAGTTCTAAATAATTTGTCAGCTAAATAAAATTTCAAAATTTCTACAAATGCTATGGTAACATTTGTGCAACGTCTATAAATATGAAAGAGCAGATGTTTTTATTTTCTAAGCTTTTTTCTATAATATTCTATACACCTGATCTATTGTAGAATGGTTTGTTCTAAAACCAAATTGATGGTTTGTTATAAGGTTCCTATTTTTAGCTTCAATTTCCCCAATTACAGCTTTTCAAAAAGCTTAAACATCATTGGTGACAGTGAAATGGGCCTGTAAGAGTTTGTTTTCCTCAAGGATTCCCTGGTTTGGCACCATACTTCTGCGGCTTTTTAAGCACATGGAACAAAATCTCTAGTTGCTTTCATTATTTTCGTCAAATTTTCCAATGCCTCGCCTGGTAGCTTTCTCAGTACTTCCACAGTAAGAAGATCAAAACTTGGCGATTTTTTCAATTTCAGGGATCTTATCCTTCGGCAAATTCGAATTGAGTAAGTGGAGCTATGCTGCCTGCTTCATTTGCGATAGTTTCTACCAAACTTACATCTGATATTATTCCGTTTGGTATAAATATGCTTTCTAAGTGATCAGCAAATAATTCGGCTCTCTCTATATTGCCCAACTGCCATTTGCTTTCTTCAATGGCGGAGCATGTTTATTCGGGCTCTTTTTGCTTCTTGCCGCCTTCCATAAGGAATAATTCGTTTCCTTCGTAGCTGACAAATTCTTTACATAATTTTCGTATGTTGCCGATTTAAATTCTTGGATTTTTCTTTTAAAAACCTGGGAAAGTCTGTTTAAAATAGTCTTATCATCAGGATGACGCGAACGTTACCATCTACGTCTGGCCTTTGTCTATTTAGCTATTAAATCAAGTATTTCTTTAGGACAGCTATTTGCTGCCGGTTTGTACTTTGACATTTTTGTATTGTGCTTTTTCTCTTGCCTGTATATTAAAATTTACGTCAATATTGTTCATTATTTCGTGTTCAAAGCTCGCCCAATCTGTAGTGTTATTTGTCAAACTGCGCCTAGATGATGTTCTAGTTATTTTTTCACTTAGTTTTAATATGACAGGAGAGTGATTTGAATTCAAATCATCATTACCTTCAAGGCTTAGAAAGTTTTCTGATATTTTTTTGGTTATAAAAATGTGAATAACATCAAGAATTTTGTTGGCGTCAGTAGACCTTTAAGTAGAAGTGCCATTGGAGTGACAGCAGCAACTACGTTCTTGAATGGCTTTTCTTTGCTCTTTTCCTCTATAGTCTATAAAAATATTTTAAGGCTTGTTTAATGTCTATATAAAAGAACGAAAAAATGCCTTTTGTTAAATTTTATACATAACTAACATAATATTTCTTGAAAGAATATTGTTGTATTATATCCTTGAATACGCCAGTTTTCAAAAATAAACAGAAATAAAATTAAATATTAACATTTTTCTAAAACCTAGGTAATTCGTGAAGCAATTTCTTCATCTACAGTTTTATTGTTAGCTCATCAGAGCAAAAATCTTAAAATTTTTCACGTTCGACGATCTGCCACTATTTTGAAATGTGAGTGGTCCCAAAATCCAGAATGGTCCGATGGCTTTTACGAGTGGTTGAAAGCAGTATCAAAATCATACGAAACTGTTGAAGAAGAAATATCTCAAATTTTTAGCAGACAATGGAAGTTTTTAAGTGACGAACAGTATGAGAAGCTCGAAGTTGATGTGAGGCAATATACGTAGGCTTATTAACATTCAGAATGTTTGATCAATGAAACTAATTTTAGCCGCAGATATAATATAATCCATACAAGTTTTTAAACATTTTCATGAAAAGATAAGTCAAATAGAAACAGAATAAAAAAGAATTATTTAAATATGAAAATTGCAGTTTCAATTTTTGTAAATTTTTGATTTAAAATCTATGTGCTATGTAAGTATGCGAGTAAATATTTTGTAAACATACATACATATTGTTACGTCACCACCATGCTTTACTCTGCATGATACGTGTAGCAAAACAGAATGGCCCATAACAAATTCAAATAAAGATTGCCCTCTACTTTTCCAAAAAAATAAAAATCGTTTTTATCAAATAAAATAATTTTTTCTTCCTTTCGTAATAAAATTCTACTTGCACTTTTTAAAATAAACATTCGTGACGCGTTATGTAATATCCGCTTGCAATTTATCGAGTTACATAAAATTTTAATTAAATTATAATTATGAATTTTAAATAATTAAAAAAAAATTGCCTATCAAGCAATTTTTACTTTGAAACAAAAATATTGGAAAAGAAAGTTAATAAAAATTAAAAAGTAAGTTAGTTCTAAGAAGCCATACGTGGAATTAACAAATTTGTAAAATTAATAAAAATAATTTAAGTGAAAAATAATTTAAGAAAAAAAATAATTTTAAATAAAAGAAAAAACTTTTGAATACAAAAAAATAAAAAGTGTTTTTAATCCACGTAATAAAAAAATAAAACTTTTCTTACGCGAAATCTTGAAATACGTAAGTATATATTGTAATACATATGAAAAATAAAAACTATCAACGGTAATAATCAACGGTAAATATTTAAATTTTATTTTACAGATATCTTTACAACAATTACTTATTGTTGCCCCAGAACTAGTCTGCTATAAATTCAAAAAATAGAATTTCGGAACATCGGAATTGTATTTTGCAGCGAAGTATATCAAAATTGAAATTAGAAAACTATCACTTTCATATTTTAAATTCACAGACGATTTGGTTATACATCTTTTGATTCCAATGTTAGGGTGCTCAGCTGGAGAGTTAATGAGTTTTGATTTCCAGAGTCTTTTTGCAGTACACACCATTTTTTTGCTGAATCTTATCACCCAATTGTGTACGTCAAAGTGAATGTACCCTATTTTTGTAAATGTAAACTGTCCACAAAAAATAAATTTAAGTCAAGTAATACGGCCACTTGAACATATATTCTTAAATGTCAGCTATTTTTTTTGTAGATATTTTCAAAATTTTTTATGTATAAAAATATTTTTAAGTGAGAAAACAAAATATATGATTAATTTTGTACAATGACTATAAAATATTAAATTAAAACTTCTAATGTGCACAATTTTCACAAAGTTAGCGTAAATTGAAGGTGCACTCGTAAAAGAAAATCCAAAATGTTTGCTTTTAGTTAGAACTAAAGATTAAATGTGAGTGAATATGTGGTATTTTTTTCACATGATTTGTTTGCCTGATCTGATTCATAATGTATAGTGAGTTCAACATTTACTAGTCCGATTAGGTTAAGTCCTTTTAATTCGTAATTTTTTAAAAAATAGAGTTCAATTTTTATATAGTCTGTTTTTGGGAGGGTATCATCTTGAAGAACTAGTTCGCAAAATTTCTAATAAAAATTTAATTCTAACAAGATACCTCAATTTTAAAATTCTTAAACAATTAGGTTTCCACAACATTCCTTCTGAAAAATTACAATATTTTCAAGCCGATAAACGGGTAAATAATTATAACGCATTACGGTCTATTAAGATGGGCTTTAAATAATTTACTAAAGCACAATAAATTTTTAACGGTTATTGTAAGTTATCCGAATATTTCAAATTCAAAACTCAACAAAAAGCTGCATGTTTTTTGTCATCGTTTATTAAAATAATTAAATATATGCTTCAGTCTTTTTCTCCAAACACACTCACCATAAGTCGAGAGACCTCAACATTTCCATGCTGTTCCAAACGCGCCCTTTATTTCATGCCACAGTTCCTGACTTATGTCCTCACTGATTTGGGGAACACGCAGATTCCTATGAATATCACTCTTGCACACATGACAAGGATTATCAACCATATTGCGAACGACCTTGTTGTGTAACCTTGATTTGATGTGTGTTTGCTTGGCACAACCCCATAGTTACAAGCCATATGTCCTCATAAGATTTATCCCTTGGTTATATATCAAAACCTTATTGTGTGTTGATAATCCAGACCTACGACCTAGGAGCTAGTAGTTTTCTCTATATTTATTTTCTAGTTCTATTCTTTTCTTCTTTACTTTCTTCTTTCCATTTGAGCTTGACATCCAAAGTCATACCTAGGTACTTCGCTGTGTTTCGAATTGATACTTTAGCACTATTCAAGCTCAATTGTGATGGGTTAATTAAATTTTTGTTTGTGAAGTTTACAGGTTTACTTCCATTTAGCCTTATTTTCTATGTGTTTATCCATTTACTCATATTGTTACTCGGTTTCTGTAATTTTATTGTCGATTCTTCAAAATTTTGTCTCACTGCTTATATTGCTGTATCATCGGCAAATGTAGCCAAAGTTGCATTTTCTAAATCTGGCAAATCGCTTTCATAAAGCACGTATAATATAGGACTTAGAATACTGCTTTTAGCCACATCAGCCCTAATTTCTCTAAGCGTAGAGTGCTCCTTGTCCTGTTTGATTCCGAAAAGCCGGGCATATAAATATGCTTCAAGTAACTGAACGAGTTGCAAAGGTATTAATTTTCTAATTTTAAATAATAAACCCTCCTGCCAAACAATAACAAAGCCTGGAGCACATACAGAAATATTGTTGAACACATTTTTCTTTCTTCTAAAGCCTTTTCCACAATATTTACCAACCGTATTGTGTATTTTTTCTTTTGTGCCAAGGACGAGCCCTATTGTTATTGGACTAATTCGGACAACGGGTTCGGGCAGCTGCCATACAACTCAAAGAGTTTAATTTAAATATTTCAAAAACTAATAAAGCTATAAATTTAAAATTTTGTATACATGTGTCCAATTATATTCTACACATGCTCTAATAATTATAATGGGATAGCTGCAACGGTTCGGGTGGCTGCCATACAACTCCAACAGCAAATTTTTTATATTCTGAAAAATAATAAAGTCAGATTCATGAAACTTGGCAGTCATGTGTCCAATTATAGGTCAAATATATTTCTGAAGTTTTAGAGGAATTGCTTGACAGGTTCGGGTACTTGCCATACAACTCCAAAAGCTTATTTAATTATTTAGAAAAATAATAAAGTCAGATTCATGAAACTTGGCAGTTGTGTGTCGAGTTATAGGTCAGATGCATTTCTGAAGTTTTGGTGGAATTGCTTGATAGGTTCGAGTAGCTCCCATACAAGTCTAAAAGCTTATTTTACATATTTGGAAAAATGATAAAGTCAGATTCGTGAGCTTTGGCAGTCGTGTGTTCAATTATAGGTCAGACATATTTCTGAAGTTTTGATGGAATTGCTTGACAGGTTCGGGTACTTGCCATACAACTCCAAAAGCTTATTTTAAATATTTGGAAAAATAATAAAGTCAGATTCATGAAACTTGACAGTTGTGTGTCGAGTTATAGGTCAGATATATTTCTGAAGTTTTGGTGGAATTGCTTGGCAGGTTCGAGTAGCTCCCATACAAGTCTAAAAGCTTATTCTTAATATTTAGAAAAATAATAAAGTCAGTCTCCGATTATAGATCAGATATATTTGTGAAGTTTTGATGGAATTGCTTGACAGGTTCAGGTACGTGCCATACAACTCCAAAAGCTAATTTTAAATATTTGGAAAAATTATAGTCAAATTCATGAAACTTGGCAGTCGGATGTCCAATTATAGGTCAGACATGTCCGTGAAGTTTCTATAGAATGATTTGACAGGTTCGAGTAATTGCTATACAATAACGGAAGGTGCAAGGTATAATTCAATCGGTTTATACCGAGTGAAACGTTTTTACTTGTTTCATATTTAATTTCTTTAATTTCATTATTACTTTTCATCTGATTCACATGTAACACTTTTAAATTTACGGAATAATTTAAATTTTCAATATTTTCATAACTTGGAATTAATATCGTATGCTTATATTGTAATTGTTTGCTTGAAAATTTTATTTTGTTTATTTCAATAGTACAGTTTTCAAAAATGACAATAAAATATTTGTTCAACATATATTGAAAATTGTTACATGTACTAGAAAAATTTAAGTTATTTGCATTTTTAATTAATATCATACCTAACTCTAGTTCTATAATTTGCAAATTAGTTTCAAAAGCTTTTCTACAATTTTCATAAGTATTATTAAATATTTTAGAAATACAATTTGATACCAGTTTTAATTTATTTTGGTAATTTTCTGAAGTACGATAGTAAGTTTTATTTTTATATTTTATAAAATCTGAGATTTGAATTAGTAACAGGAAAGATCTTGTATTGGACGGCCTTTTCTTGGTTTATTTTTGGAATACATATCACGAATATCAATTTAGTATCATATGTAAGTAAGGAGATTTTAAGGTTTTAAATTTTGAAAATATCAATATTATAATCATCAATTTCTTCTGGTGTAAGAAGATATCGGCTCATTATTTGATGTTTTGCGAACATTACGGTTTCCTGTATTTTTTCTAGTTCTTCTTTTAGAAGAATAATGTTTGAAATTAATTGAAGAAATTGTAGTTGTTTGATTATTTTTCTATTTTCAGGAGAAAAATCGTTTAAAAGTTTATCTAACAATACGTTATTATTATTAATACTTTTTTGCAGAACATTGATATTTTTTTGAATATTATCATTAATTTTGATTTGATTATTAGAATGTTAGAATATATCATTATGGATGTTTTCGTCTAATATTTTCAAACGTTGTTCTATTTCGGTTTTATCGATTTTCTTGGTCCATAGTTCTAAAAATGAACTTTAATACTGAACCACCCATATTTATTAGGGATCTTTTGTGTCTAAATGGTATTAATGTTTTAAATGTGTTTTTGAGTTTGTTTATGTTAGCGTTAAGAGTTCTAAAATTTATATTGTCAGTTGGCAAATTGAAAGTTTAGTTTATTTGTGATTCAATTGCATGTAAAGTGTATTCGA